GCAAATAGTATTCAAGGAATATTGGCTGGTAATAATATCAGCTATATGCTCTTTAAAGACAGTGACTAACTCATTGTTTTAAAAATTCCAAGTGTGGCCTAGTGTTGCAAATAGGTTATCAGACTTGCTTTACTAAATAAATGAGTAACTATAAAAAAGCACTTATATACTCCTAATGCAATTTCAGAAATGGAAAACATCCTTTAAATCACTGGCCATATACAGGATAAAATATTGCTCCAGTAATTCTTAATATGTAAGGAATTTGTTATCAAGGAAGAGGAAGAATAAAATAACTTTTAAAATAATGATCCTGAGGATTTAATTTTTTAATTTAAAGAATACTGCAAGGCTAAGAAGAAATAAAACTGAGTAGCATTCTCAGATAAATGTGGACTACAGGTTATTTCATTCTTCTACTATAATAGCAAGACATCCTTTTATTATAAGCCTCCACCTGTGTTGGTTATTAAAAACCATATATCATAGCAATTGATGTCATATCAATTGTACCCAAAGTAATTTTCCTCCAAATAGAATAACAGATTTCCCATTATATTATCTAAGCATTTAATGTAAAAGGTTTTCCCCACAATCTCAATTCTACTCCTTTGGAGAAGATGAAACTCTATGTTATGAAAATAACCTTTGTGGCAACCTTAAGCTAATCTAGAATGCAATGATGCATAGAAAGGCCACTGGGCTAAAAATAACACCTGGGTTTTCATATAAGCTGATCAACCATACATTTAAGAACTTGGGCCAATCATTTCATGAGTCTGGGCCTCAGTTTCCTCATTTATCTAGTTGAAAAACTGTTAATATTCACATTGTTGTGAGGAGGATAAAATAATTAATGACAGTACCTATTTAGTAAGCTATGAAGTATTAAACAGATGTGTAATGATATAATTAATTTAAAATTAGTAATTCTTGAAGGAGAATGGCACTTTCAAGTCCCTTTGATAACAAGAAAGAAACCCACTATAAATTACTTTAACAAAACAGAATTTATTGCAAGGATATAGGGATATCTCAGAGAACTCCAAAGCTGCACCTCTTGAGAAACTGGAATCAGAACCAAATTTTCCCTCTCTCTCATCTCTGGCTTTTCACTAGTTCCAATCAGTGTGTCTTGAGCCCAGTTTCAGGTTTTCAGAGATTAGCCTGGCTTAGATCCAGTGTCTATCCCTGGCCCAAATAGAGGGAGTAGGAAGAGTTCTTAGAAAAAGGAGAGCAGCATGAGCTGAACAAACACGTTAATGTTTACTAATACAGGCCAGTTAGAAATATTTTAAATAATAAGTCCCAATGGCGAGGAAGTCCCAATGGCAAGGATTTATACACGTTTTTCTTCCAAGTTCCAGGTCATAGTAGCGTGACCAAAGAGGGTAGGAGCAAGGAAAATGTAAGTATATTTAAAGGCGAATTATTTACAACATTAACTTAAGCCTAATGCAACTATCTTAATATCGTGAGAGCTACAAGAGATGAATCCAGGTTTTAAAGCTTCGAAATCTGAGTATTAAGCAATTCCCAGCCTTGTCTTTCCCGACTACCTGACCTCCTTCCAACACACGGTAATTATGTTCCATCGTAATGAACTGTTTATGTTCTTCAAATATGCCATGCATCTTCATGTCCCAATATCTCTCTTTACTCATTCATTCAACAAATATTACTTGAGGACCTACTATGTCACAAATATTATTGTAAGCACTACCCAAGACCTCACAGAGTTTACATTCTAATAGATCAAGAACAAATAAGTATACAAATAATTACTGATACTGATATGCACAATGAAGGAAATACCCTGATCAACCAAATAAGCTGCCAAGCATAAGTAGTGTTACCTAAAGAGGGTATACACACAGAGGATGAGAAAGGCAGGACTCCTCAGTTCCTGATGTTTGCCAAAGGTGGGAGAGTACTTTTCTTCCAATTTCCCTGGCCCTCCTCCTCACTCACTTTTGCTCCTCCCCTTTCTTTATCTAGCCTTTAAATATTAGAGTTCCTCATTGTCTGGTCCTGAATAAAAAAGTACTGCATAGCTAAGAGAAGTTTTAAGGCCTGTGCTGTCCACACAGTTTTCTACCAACCACATCATCCACAGTTAATCCTTTTTACTAATTTTTCATTTATCCTTCCAGTGTTTCTTTTTGAAAATATAAGTAAATGCATATATATTCATACTTCTCCCATTTCTTAAATAAAAGCATAATATACATATTACTATAAAGCTCTACTCTTTTCACTTTTATATGAGACATAAGTTTCTTTCTATGATTGTATTGTGTATCATTGGGTAGATGTTTCATAATAATGGGCATTTGTGTTCTTTCCCAGCCTGTCAGTACAGTATTACAAATGATACCCGACTTGAATGTTGATGTCCAACCAAGAGCTAGAAATGAAATCTTAGGCCTGCATGAGGCAGACAATGGAATTAAGACTCAAGTATAAATCCATGCCACAGAGCAACAACAACAAAAACTAATTTGAATATAAAAACAAGTGAAATATAAAAACTGGACAACAATAACACACAATCAGAATAAGACTATGAAGTTGTTCCAGAGAAGGATAAAGAATTTGACTGAATTTGGACTTTAAGTCAACCACAACTTTAAAATTTTAAGAGCATTCACTAACAATACAAACAGAATATATAACTTCCAAATTAATGGACTGAAAAAAGAGTGGGAGGGCTTGCAATCTGGTAGAAGAAAAGAAAAAGAAAATAATAGTAAAAACACAGTAGTGAGCATTATACAAACAGCAGAAATAAATCTAACAGATCAGTAATTATAATAAAAGCAAAACTTCAAGTTAAGATAAATATTGTCAGATTGATTTTAAAAAATTCATGTGTAGGCTGTTTTGCATGAGACACACCTAAAACATATAAACATAGACAGGCCGAAAGTAAAGGGATAGAAAAAGATATACCAGGCTAAAATTAGACAAAACTGTATGACGGATGAAACGGAACTAATGGCAAAAAGCATTGATGGAGAAAAAAAGAGGCCTTTTATATATAATTAACAGGAGTAATCTAGCAAGAAGACAGGACTACTCAGAAACATGTATGGCCCTAATTCATAGCTTCTAAATATCTGAAGCAAAAGTTGACAGACTTACAAGGAAAAACTGACAAGTCTACAATTGAAGTGGCAGATTTTAAGAAACCTCTCTGGATAACTGATAAATTAAGAACAAGTAAATTATCAACTATGTGAATATTTATATAATAATTAGCAAGTTTGATCCAATGAATGTTTTAGATACCAACAATTAGAGAGTACATTCTTCTTAAGCACGTAGGAAACATTTACAAAAATCAATCAATCCAAGGCTTGTAAAACAAGCCTCAACAAATTTCAAAGATTTTATCCTTGGCTCCAATGCACATATAACATAAATTATAAACCAATAGCAGAAATATTGCTTAATATTCTGTCTTTTGCTTAAAAATGACAGAATGAACATAAATAGTTAACTTTTTACCTCCAGAAATCCAACTATAATAAATGTAAAGGGTTGCTTTATTTTTGGTTTTTAGTTATAAACCCACAAGGATGAAGAGAATGGAAGAAGAAATGGCAGCAACAAAATTGTGGGTATTAGAGAATGGAGGGAGTGGTAACTGACTGCAGATTTGAGAAAGCTGAGTCCTAAGCCAGCAGTGGGAAAAAGCAGCCTGGTTTATACCATGGAACATCTAAAAGTTTCTGGAAGTGGTGTTGTATATACAGGTTAGTTGATTATTATTAAGTAAGACTTAGGCCTCTATGTCATCTCCACTGTTATGCTTGGTTGGGTGACTCATCACCCTGGAACCCCTTAATCCATGCAGGAAACCAGGATTTATTCTCTGAAGAAGTTAAAAAGCGGGGTTTTTGGCCTAGAGACCACTATTACTTTTGAAGATGCAGATGCTTTACCGAAAACATGTAGAACAAAGGGAAAACTTACTTTCTAACAGTTGAAAGAACCCAGTCCATTCCACACTGAAATTGTAGAATGCTGGGAGCCATGATCATACCCTTCCACAAAGAGTAAGAGAGAGCTTTCTAAGTGGTTTAAGAAAAACAATTTAGATATTGCCATACTGATAAGGTCTACTGGATCATCTGATAGTGAGGCCCATATCTGGTAAGCTCTACCCAAATGGACAGCGCTTTCAACTAGCCTTTAGTGCTCTTTTTTCTTGAGCATGTTTTAATAGACTATGGAATAAAACACAGAGATCAAACCCATCAACAACAACAAAAAAAGTAACCTGGAGAAACAGACACTATGCAGAGAAATGAAAGCTTTAAAGGTTATTATTAATATTCTCACAAAGATAATGAATCCATGACAAAAAACAGGATGAATAAGGAAGCAACTGGAGAAAAATAAAGAGCTCTTGGAAGCTAAAAACATAAATAGGTGAAAGGCCCAGAAATAAACCTTCACATTTATAGCCAACTGACTTTTGGTGAGGGTACCAAGACAAGTCAATGGAGAAACAAAAGCATATTCTGAACAATGGTGCTGGGACAACCATATCCATATGCAAAATAATGAATTTAGACCATGATTTCATAACTACATACAGAAATGAACTCAAAATGAAGGGCTTAAATTTAAAAGCTAAATCTATACAATTCTTAAAATTAAATATAGCCATAAATCTTTGTGACCTTGGGCTAGCTAACAGATATGACCTCAAAACCACAACCAACAAAGGAAAAAATAAACACATTTGGACTTTAACAAAATTAAAATTTCTTGTGCTTCAAAATATACTATCAACAAAAATTCAACTCATAGGAGAAAATATCTGCAAATCATGTATCTGATAAGCATTTGATATCCATAATATATAATGTACTCTTATATTTCAATAATAAAAAGACAACCCAATTATAAAATAGTCAAAAGATTTGAATAGACATTTCTCCAAAGAACATGTACACAAATAGCCAAAATCACATAAAAAGATACTCAACATCCAATGATGTGTTGCTGGGGCCTAATGTTCTCAGATAACAGTAGAAAACCAAAATTTGTTGTCATCTCTTTAAAGAATCGAGAATTGCATACAAAAAAACTTACATAAATTAAAAAGATGAATATATTTACAGGTATAAATGAAAACTGCTTCCAACTCAAGGCAAGTAACAGCCCACGGTTTTTTGGCAGGAAAACATCAACTAAGAAAGGAAACTGGGTCCTATGGCTTGGACTTTTCCAACCCTGACAGACCAGCAGGACAGAAACCACTAACTCAAGAGCCCCTGCCAGCCTCTAGAGAAATCCCAGAACACTCAGCCCCGACACATTAATATCCTGTACAGACTGGAGACTGCTGGCCATGTAGACTCTTCAAGCCACAGACTTGTCTTCCACAAGCATGTTCTTATCTCAGCCACAAAGTGACCAAGCCACATGTACTAAGGGGTAAAATCAAAGATATGTATAGGTATTCTACAAATACCAAGCAGGAACAGTTAATTTGAATACAAGGTCAAAATCAGCAACAAGTTCTACAATCCAGTGCTGATATCAGATACAAGCTTCAAGGACAATTTCTTTTTGAAGGCTTATTCCAGTTTCATGAGGCTAGCATGAGGTATATGCATTTGCCAGGGACAAATTTATACTTCTGAATGAACCCATGCAGCAAATGCTACATATCTGCTTGCAGTCCATTTAGAAGCATTTGCAGTGGAAAAACGAGGGGCCAACTTGTCGTACTCCTGCTTGCTAATCCACATCTGCTGGAGGTGGACAGTGAGGTCAGGATGGAAGCGTGGAACCACACAGAGTACTTGCACTCTGGGGGGCACAATGATCTTGATCTTCACGGTGCTGGGTGCCAGGATGGTGATGTCCTTCTGCATCCTGTTGGCAATGCCCGGGTACATGGTGGTGCCACCAGACAGCACTGTGTTGGCGTATAGGTCTTTGCGGATGTCCACATCACACTTCATGATGGAGTTGAAGGTGGTCTCGAGGATGCCTCAAGATTCCATGCCTAGGAAGGAAGGCGAACAGAGCCTCCAGACACCAGAACTGATCATTGCCAATGGTGATGACCTGGCTGTCGGGTAGGTCCTAGCTCTTCTCCAGGGAGGTGGAGGATGTGGCAGTGGCCATCTCCTGCTCGAAGTCCAGGGTGACATAGCACAGCTTCTCCTTGAAGGATCTCCCTCTCGGCCATGGTGGTAAAGCTATAGTTGCGCTTTGTGAGGATCTTCATGAGGTAGTTGGTTAGGTCCCTGCCAGCCAGTCCAGACACAGTATGGCGTGGGGGAGCATGTAGTCCTCGCAGATGGGCACCATGTGGTTGACCCTGTCTCCAGAGTCTATGACAATGCCAGTGGTGTGCCCAGAGGTGTAGAGGGACAGCATGGCCTGGATGGCCACATACATGGCCTGGGTATTGAAGGTCTCAAACATGATCTGAGTCATCTTCTCTCTGTTGGCCTTGAGGTTCACAGGGTTCACAGGGACCTTGGTCAGCAGCACCAGGTGTTTCTCCAGGGCCACATGCAGCTCTTTGTAGAAGGTGTGATCTCCATGTAATCCCAGTTGGTGATGATGCTGTGCTCGATGGGGCCAGGGTTCCCATCTTCAGGCCAGGATGCCATGCTTGCTCTGGGCCTTATCACCTACACAGAAGTCCTTCTGGCCAGGGTGCCCAACAATGGAGGGGAAAATGACTCAGAGGGGGGCATCATCCCCAGCAAAGCCAGCTTTGCACATGCTGGAGACACTGTCAATGACCAGCATGGCGATCTCTTCTTCCATTGTGACAGGTGAAGGAGTAGGGCAGCAGAGCAGCAAGAGGACACGGTGCGCAGGTTGGTGGCAATGACTGAGTGATACTCAGTGTCACTAACCATCAGGAAAATGCAAATCAAACTGGAGTATCAGACATTTATAGTGGCTATGCCCATCATCTCAGCACTTTGGGAGGCCAAGGCAGGAGGATCACTTGAGCTTGAGGAAACCAAGACCAACCTGCGCAATATAGCGAGACCTCATCTCTACTAAAAATTTTAAAAATTAGCCAGGCATGCTGGTGTGTGCCTGTGGTCCCAGCTACTCAGGAGGCTGAGGTGGGAGGACTGATTGAGCCTAGGAGATTGAGGCTGCAGTGAGCTATGACCATGCCACTGCATTCCATCCTGGGCAACAGAATGAGACTGTCTCAAAAAAACAAAACAAATAAGACTGAGGTACCAAATCACACCCAGTAGGATAAATATAATTCAAAAGGTGAACAAGAAGAAATGTTGGTGAGGATGTGGAGAAACTGGAACCCTCACCAACTGCTGGTGGAAATTTAAATGGTACACTTGGAAAAACAGCTGGGCAGTTCCTCAAAACATTAGAGTTATCAAAGAAGCCAGCAATTTCACTTCTTAGGTATACCCAAAGGAGTATAAAACACATGTTCACGCCAGGTGCGGTGGCTCACACCTGTAATCCCAGCACTTTGGGAGGCCGAGGTGGGCAGATGACGAGGTCAAGCGTTTGAGAACAGCCTGGCCAACATGGTGAAACCCCATCTCTACTTAAAATACAAAAATTAGCCAGCTGTGGGAGCGTGTGCCTATAATCCCCGCTGCTCAGGAGGCTGAGGCAGGAGAATCACTTGAACCCATTGCAATGAGCTGAGACTGTGCCACTGCACTCCAGCCTGGGCGACAGGGTAAGACTCTGTCTCAAAAAAAAAAAAAATGTTCACACAACTTGTACACAAAGGTTCACAGCAGAGTTATTCATGTGGCCAAAAAGTGAAAACAACCCAAATGTCCATCAACTGACGAATAAACAAAATGTGGCATAAACATGACGGAATGTCAGCAATAAAATGGAATGAAGTACTGATGCATGCTACAACATGGATGGATCTTGAAAACATTATGCTAAGTGAAGAAGGCCAGTGACAGGAGACCACGTATTATATGATTCCATTTATATGAAGTGTTCGGAATAGGCAACTCCGTAGAGGCAGAAAGCGGATTAATGTTGCCCTAAGGCTGAGAGGGTATGGAGAAATAGGGGTATGACTACCAATGGGTACAGAGCTTTATTTCTGGGTAATGAAAATGTTCTAAAATTGATTGTGGTGTCTGGTAGTTGCACAATCCTCTGGCTGTACTAAAAACCATTGGATTGCACACTAAGTGGGCAACATTTTTAAAGAGAGAAAATAATATCACAGAAAAAAATCTCATTAGGAAGGTTGGAAGAAAAGTCAAGGAAATATTCCTAACAATACAGAAAAAAACTCGGAAGTGAAAAACAGAAGTGAAAACATTTAAATCTGTTGATCAATTCAGGTCAACATCCAAATAAGAGTAGCCCTAGAAAGACAGCACAGAAAAATATGGATTGGAAATCAACAATGAAGGAATTCAAGAAAATACCCCAGAATTGAAGGGCTTGTTACCCAGACTGAAAGAGCTCCAGAGAGTCAAGCAAAATAAATGAAAATAGATTCTCACCAAGATTCATCATTATAAATTTCAGAAAAACAAGCCAAAAAGAAAATTCCAAATGCTTTCAGGGAAGAGGGTGGGAACAGATCAATATCCAAAAGATTACCTGCAAACTTCCCAGAAGCAATACTGGAAGCTGGAAGATAAATGAGCAATGCCTTCAACACTCTAAGGAAGCATGACTTCCAACCTAAAATTCTAAAGCCAGCAAACTATCAATTAAGTACAAGAATAGTATAAAGATATTTTCAGACATGAAACGTTAAGCTTTAACTGTTTCTATAAAAAGATCTATCAAGTGGTAAATATATGCCAAATACACTTATTACCTTTGAGTTCAAATTTTTATTCATTCATTCAAGACAAGTTCTCACTCTGTCACCCAGGTTGGAGTGCTGTGGCATAATCACAGCTCACTGCATCCTTGACCTCCCAAGGCTTAGGTGATCCTCCTACCTCAGCCTCCCAAGTAGCTGGGACTATAGGCATACACTACCACACCTGCCTAATTTTTCTTTTTGTAGAGACAGGGTTTTGCTACATTGCCCATGCTGGTCTCAAACTCCTAAGGCTCAAGTGGTCCCACCACCTCAGCCTTCCAAAGTGCTGTTATTACAGGCATGAGCCCACCATGATACCCTTCTGCCATGACTGTAAGTTTCCTGAGGCCTCCCCAGTCATGTGGGAGTCAATTAAACATCTTTCCTTTATAAATCACCCAGTCTTGACTAGTTCTTTATAGCAATGTGAGAATGGACTAACATACTTGTAAAGAGGTTCTCGAACAGAACTACTGTATATTCTGAATGTGAGTACCTTCTGTGATGCTGGGACTCCAGCATATTTATTTTCAAATCCTACATAATAAATATTCTGATATAAGTACCTAAATGTAACGGTGAAGTAGGTGAATTATTTGGGCTGAAAAACTCAGTAGCCATGCAAATATTCAGTCTGCATAAGAGTCAGCCAGATTTTCTACCAATGCCTCCAAGAGCTTTGGTGAACATATTTAGTTCATCCCTTAAAGTTTAATACAATTTCCCCCAAGTCTTTATTCTAAAAATAAAGACTGGATCCAATTATCCCTTTGTTTTCATAAGTAGGATTTTATTTGTTTTCACTTTTGACATTGAAACAGGTGCTTTCATTTTTTTGAATTATATTTTTCAGAATGGTTTTAGATGTACAGAAAAAACTATAAAAGAAAGCACAGAGTTCCCACGATCCCCAAAGCTAGCTTTCCATACCATCATCTGACATTAGTATATTAGTTGTTGTTATTAATGAGCCAATACTGATTCATTATTATTAACTAAAGTACATACTTTATCCAGATTTCCTTCGTTTTTTTTTTTTTTTTATCTTTACCACGATATCATTCACATACCACACAATTCATCCTTTTAAAGTGTGCAATTCAGTAGGGTTTAGTATATTTACCACTATCTAATTCTAGAGTATTTTTGTTACCCAAAGCAGAGACCATGTACCCATTACCAGTTACCTCCCAAAGCCTCATCCCCACATGCAGCCATAGGTAACTACTAATCTGCTTTCTGTCTCTATAGAGCTGCCTATTCTGGACTCTTCATATAGATGGAATCATACACCATGTGGTCTCTTGTTACTGGCTTTTTAATAATTTCAACTTTTATTTTAGATTTGGGGGTGCCTCTGCAGGTTTTGCTACATGGGTATATTGCATGATGCTGAGGTTTGGGGTATGACTGATCCCATCAGCCAGGTAGTAAGCATAGTACTCAACAGGTTTTCCAACCATTGCCCCCTACCCTCCTTCCTACCTCAAGTAGTCTCTATTGTTATCAACTTTATGTCCACGAATACCCAATGTTTAGCTCCCACTTACAAATGAGAACATGTGGTATTTGGTTTTCTGTTCCTGTTATTAATTCGTTTAGGATAATGGCCTCCAACTGCATCCATGTTGCTGAAAAGGACATAATTTCATTCCTTTTTATGGCTGTATAGTATTCCACAGTATATATGTACTACCTTTTCTTTATTAAATCCACTGCTGATGAGCACCTATGTTGATTCCACATCTTTACTACTGTGAATAGTGCTGCAATTAACATATAAGTGCATGTGTTTTTTTGATAAAATAATTTATTTTCTTTTGAGTATATACCCAGTAATGGGATTACTGGGTTGAACAGTTTGGTTTAAAGTTCTTTGAGAACTCTCCAAACTGCTTTCCACAGTGGCTGAACTAATTTACATTACCACCAGCAGTGTATAGGTGTTCCCTTTACTTTGCAGCCTGACCAGCATCTGTTGTTTTTTGACTTTTCATAGTAGCCATTCTGAATGATGTGAAATGGTATCTTATTGCAGTTTTCATTTGCATTTATCTGATCACTGTTATTGGCATCTTTCACTTAGCATAATGTTTCCAAGGTCATCCATGTTGTAGCATATATCAGTACTTAATTCCATTTTAATGCTGAATGGCATTCCATCATAGAGCTATACTACGTTTTGTTTACCTATTTATCAGTTGGCAAACAATGCTATGAAAATTTGTATACAAGTTGTTGGGTGAACATGTGTTTTAAATTCTTTTGGGTATACCTATGAGTGGAATTGATGGCTCATATGGTAACTATGTTTAACTTCTGAGGAACTAACAAACTGTGTTGCAAGTGCACCATTTCACATTTCCACCATCAATGTATAAGGGTTCCAATTTCGCTACATCTTCACCAACACTTGTTATTCTGTCCTTTTTATTATGGTTGTTCTAGGGCGTATAAAATTGTATCTCATTGTGGCTTTGGGCCACATTTCCCTGAAGACTAATAAGGTTGAGCATCTTTTCATGTACTGTTGACCTTTTCTTTGGAAAAATGTCTATTCAAATCCTTTTCCCCTTAAAAATATGAGTTGTCTCTTTATTGTTGAGTTTTAAGAACTCTAGATATTCTGGATATTAGAACTCTATTAGCTATATGATTTACTTTCCCTCCACCCCATATTCTGTGAATTCTTTTCATCGTATTTATAGTATCATTTGAAACACAAGTTTTAAATTTTGATGAAGTTCAATTTATTTATATTTGCTTTGGTTGTTTGTGTCTAAGTATAGATTTCCTTAGTTTTTAACCTAATGACATTTTCTGTTCCAGGATCCCATACAGGATACCACATTAATCATGATGTCTCCCTTAAGCTCTCCTCTTGATAGTTTCTCAGACTTTCCATGTTTTTGATAATTTTAACCATTTTAATAAGTATTGTCCAGGTGTTCTGTAGACTGCTCCTCAATTGGTCTTTATCTAATGTTTTTCTCAAGGTTAGAGTTAAAAGTTCGAGAAAAAAAGGTCACAGGTATTAAGTACCATTTTAGTCACATGTCAACGGTCTATACTACCAACGTGACTTACTACTGTTGATGACTTTGATTACCTGACTGAGGGAGTGTTTGTCAGTTTCTCCACTGTAATCTTTTTTCCTACTTTCCCTACTGTACTCTTTGAAAGGACGTCACTATG